AACACTATGGCTAGAAGGGCCATATTAAGTAATTCACTACACTGCCATGTGATAAAGGACTTGTATCTAAAATATACAAAGAATTCATACAACTCAATAATTAAAAGACAAATAAGCCAGTTTAAAAATGGGCAAAGGATCTGAACAGTCAGTTCTCCAAAGAAGATATACAAATGACCAATAAGCACCTGAAAAAATGTTTGTCATCACTAGCCATTAGGGAAATGCAAACCAAAACCCCAGTGAGATACCACTTCGCGCTCACTTTTGTTAGGCGCCGTCAGAGTTGATTTCGACTGGTAACGATCCACTAGAAGGGCTATAATCAAAAAGTCATATAATGTCACTGAATTGTAGAAACTGTTGAATTTGTGTATGTTTTGCTGTGTATCTTCTCAACCACAATAAGAAAATAAATTATGTATTTTAAAAAGTCAGATAACAGCAAGTATTGGCGAGGATGTGGGGAAATGCGAATGCTCATACACTGCTGGTAGGAACGTAAAACGGTCCACCTGCTTTGGAAGGCAGTCTAGCAGTTTCTCAAATGATTAAATATAAAGTTTCCATATGACTCAGCAATTCCACTTCTAGGTATACACTGAGAAATAACAAAAATTGAAGTTGTCAAGGATTTCATCTTACTTGGATCCAAAATCAATACGAATGGAAGCAGCAGTCAAGAAATCAAATGACCCATTGCATTGGGCAAATCTGCTGCAAAAGATCTCTTTAAAGAGTTAAAAAAAAAAACAAACAAAGGTATCACCATGCAGACTAGGATGCGCTTAACCCAAGTCATGGTGTTTTCAATTGCCTCATATGCATGTGAAAGCTGGACAATGAACAATGAAGGCAGAAGAAGAATTCATGCCTTTGAATTATGGTGTTGGCGAAGAATATTGAATATACCATGGACTGCCAGAAGAACAAACAAATCTGTCTTGGAAGAAGTACAGCCAGAATGTTCTGTAGAAGTGAGGACTTTGTCTCACATACTTTGGACATGCTATCAGGAGGGATCAGTCCTTGGAGAAGGACATCATGCTTGGTAAAGTAGAGGGTCAACGAAAAAGAGAAAGACCCTCAACAAGATGGATTGACACAGTGGCTGCAACAATGGGCTCAAGCATAACAACAATTGTGAGGATGGCGCAGTACTGGACAATGTTTCATTCTGCTGTACATAGTGTCGCTATGAGTAGGACACCTAACTCGATGGCACCTAACAACAACAGCATGTATCCACAAAATAAACACAAATGTTTATGTGAGCTTTATTCATAATAGCCAAAAAGTTTCCACCCAAATGTCCATCAGCTGATGAATGGATAAACAAAATGTGGTGTATCCATACAGTGGAATATTATTTGGCAATAAAAAGGAATTGAGTACTGATACATGCTACAACATGGATGAATCTTGACAACATTACACTTAATGAAAGAAGACAATACAAAAAACCACATGATTTCATTCATATGAAATGTCCAGAATTGGGAAATCTATATAGACAGAAATAGATTAGTGGTTACTTTGGGCTGGAGGCTAAAGAGAGGAGTAGGGGGATAAAGGGCATAGAGTTTCATTTTCTTTTTTTTTTTGAAGTTTCCTTTTGAGGTGGTGAAAATGTTCTAAAATTGACTGTGGTGATGGTTGCATATATCTGCGACTTTACCAAAAACTACTGAATTACACTTTAAATGGGTGAATTTTATGGTATGTGAACTACTGTATTTTTTTTTTTTTTGCAAAGTGCATGTTATACCTTTTTTGCCAACCATGCAACCCCCTCCCTTGCATTATTTTTGTAAGCGCTCTATGCCAATATATTTTTTTACATGTTGCTGACTTCAATTGACACTAAGAAGACATAATTAAACTATGAAATAAGCAGATCTAACATAACCTAATGGTTTCATTTAAGACAATCTAATAAGGTTTTTGAATTCGACTATTGAGCTAATGAGCTATAATTATCAACTTAAATTAATAGAAACAAACACACAATTTTGATTATTTTCTGATTACCGGGAGACTACCAAACTCGATCCATGATCTCTTGACCATGGCTTATACCTTTATTATACATTTATGATCAAAAGTAACATTTTCAGACTATTTTTATACACATAAGCAGGAGACTAAAGAAAATGAACAGAATGAAAGAAAACTAACAGAACAATATGATTTACCAGTAATATGGGAGGATGGGTGAATGAGGCCAAAATTCACTTCTGGAAATGTCACGAGACACGTGTGGCGTATGCGTGAACGGGCTATGCCAGAACTGTTTTACTTAATTTCCTCATTTCCACACTTTACATGTGTGGGCGCATTATTTACATGGGCGCATTATTTGCAAAAATGTACAGTATACCTTAATAAACCTATTTTAAAGAAAAAATCATTGCTCTTCAGTATCTAATTTTCCATTAATCTCCTGTTGTTAATTTTTCATTTCAGATATTGCATTTTTAAGCTTCTGAAATTCCATTAAAAAAATAACTTCCATTTCTCTCCTTATTATGTTTCTGTTTTCCTTTAAATACTTGAGCATATTTATAATAGCTATTTTAGAGTCCTTATCATCTTGTTATTTCTGAGTTTGTCTCTTTTGAATGATTTTTTCTCCTCATTACAGGTTACATTTTTCTGCTTCTTTTCATGTCTACTAATTTTTTTATTGGATGCAGGATATTGTGGATTTTACATTATTTAATGCTCAATTTTGTTTTTTCTTTAAAAAGTGTTGGACTTTTTTCTGGCAAGCAGTCAAGTTACTTGCAGAGCAGCTTGATACTTTAGAGCTTGTTTTAAGTTTTGTTAGAGTGGGTCTAGGCTAACCTTTACTCTAGAAATAATAGTTTAGCCTGCTACTAAGGTGGGCCTCTTCTGAGGTCTTTACTGAATGTGCCAGGAGTTCAACAAGGATTCTGCAATCCGGCTAGTCAGAACCTGACCATCTCCCAACCCTATGTGAGCTCTGAGAATTGTTCAGCTTATAGTTCCTTGGTCATTCTTTGCCTAGCCTCATTGAATTTTGACTCAACCCTACATGCAAGATTTAGTATTCAGCAACAGAGCCAAGGAGACTCCTATACATATTTCTGGAACTCTGTGTCATATAACTCCCTGCTCTCTGATACCCTGTCCAGAGACTCTCTTAAACATTTGCTATACTTAAAGTTAGAGGGTTTGCAGTGTATTGATCAATAATTAATCAGTTGTATTTACTGAGTTTTTAACTGTGGAAAAGACCTCACAAAAGGTGTGAAGAGGAAGGTATCCTATC